TTTTCTTCCTGACGTCTTTCTTACAGACAGCTCGGTTGGCGCCACGACCAGTTGGCGACTTGCGTGCCGGAGCAAAGAACATTGTACTGGGTTATGGGTTAGCGAGGTAGTATACAATTAGGGAAATATTACCCTAATTTTAAATATATTTGTTACTTGATATTTAATGCATATTGTATGTTCCATTTCTTGCGGCATGCTCCCTGCGTGTTGCCATCACCTCGCTCTTTCTTCCCCAGAAAATGGCTTTACTACATTTCTAGACTCAAATCGGAATACCTTTCCGCAGAAAAGTCCTTGGATCTGTAGACAGAAAGCATTTGAGCTTTTCGGCATTTCGAGAAGTACGCATACGATCTGTGCAGCCGACAGGGTCAAGCCCGTCACCTATTGACACTCGGTCTTGTTACAAAAGTCCAGCTGACACAGGGGATGGTAGAACAAGGTGCAAGGAGCGTCGTTCCAGTCCAATGCGCGGCGTGATCCGCAATGTTCGTTACCGCCATAGTTGTTAGGAGACATCGGACCCCTCCAGGGAACCACACCACAGCCGTCGACACCCACAAACACCCCCTCTGTGACGACATCGGTCGCCCCCAGCCACACTGTGCTTCCTGCAGCCAGATCAGCGACACACTGGTCCTCAGCATCGGTGCGGGGAACGACCAGGTGGGCTCCAAGCTGTTGACAGCGGATCTCTGCCTCTGCGTAGTTGACTGCAGCGTCCAACCGGATCAGGCAGCGACCCGCACACCGCGTGAAGCCCGGCGCGCAGCTGCAGGGGTCGGTGGAAGAGCCTGAAACGACAGGGGATCCCGTCTATCAGCGGCACAGCGTCCAGCTGTCTGGCTTTCAGGTGTTTTGCTAGCGACGGTCATCTGCTACATGATGATGAAAGGGAGCTTTTAAACTTTTTAAACGGCGATACGTCCGGGCGAGACTTGGTAGACGATGTGCAGTCAGACAAGCATTGCTGTATGGATGATTTTGTCCGACGCTTCAGTCAGATGCTTCAATCAGCATGACAAGTTTTTACAAGAACGTGTCATCCTGTTTGTTCAAATGCATAAGTGATTTTGAAACGACGTGTTGTTGCGGTGGTTTCGTGCCTAATTTGCCTATCTTGCCTAGTAATTGCAGTGCGTGGCCAATAAGTAGAACGAGGAAATTTGACAGGAAAGCAGTAGCACGGGGTGGTGGAATCAGGTACCCCCGTTATTTTGTTCACAGCATGCCTCACCAGCTGTCAGGGTGGATCCGAAGGGGAAAGGAAGCATGAAACTATGTTCCTCTTTGAACCCCATGAAGTTTTGATGCCCCGAAAGGGCACCAAAATTTCATGGTGAAAGGCCCCAAAAATCTTATACCAGAACCACAAAATTTTAATTTTCAAGTAACACCAAATTGCAGGGGCACCATAATGTCCGCGTAATGCCCCGTGACGTAATCTTGGCTAGGCCCATTCGATGGAGGGGAACCAAAACTTTTATTTATGTGGTATTATAGCCTTTATTTTCAAGGAGCACTGAGTCCAGACGACATGACAAAGTCCCCCAAACTTTCAATCCAATCAGTACAATATTCGAGGGACACAGTAATGTTGCTCATTACATATTACCCATTCTTCGCCAATTGTTTCTGGGCCCTGTAAGGTGAAGGGCCCCTGTGCTAGTCAGAGGCCCACACTGCCCTACGTGAGATGCTGCGACGTGCAGTCGTGCGTGCGTCGAAGGGCCCGGGGCCGGCCAAAGGCACATTTGCTGGACCGAGACAGGTACGTAACCCCGAATGTCAAAGGACTTCTGGCGTTGGTGGGGCCTTCTTGATGATGAAATAACGCACAAGAAATGGTGATTCAAGAGCTTAAATTTACCATGGGACAGCGGAAAGGCCTTTTGTCAGTCTGAGTACCGAAAGAGAGGTCACCCGAACCGTTTCGACCAGGGGCTGATAAGACGCACTCGTGTCTTGGTTTCAGTTATTAGTTGTGTTTGCTATGTTATGTTTTGTAATGCTATGTTTCAGTTGTTAAACAATGCTTCCTGTTTTTCTTTTATTTCAGTGGAAGTTGTCCAGTTTTCTGCATGCAGAGCATACCCAGAAACAAAAGCAAAACAAATAAAAAAACATGGCAGCAATAGGCATTGACCACTTTATTAGCACCCGTGAGACATGAGCACGTCTTTGAAATATTTTTTTAGGGGATGTTCTGCTTGTGAAGACAGTAAAACAAACATCAGATATGCTGAAACAAACTGACTTATAACTATTAGTATACTTTTAGGCTGTAAAGACTGTTCTATACAGCAAAATGTCTCTATTTGGTAACTATGCTCCTCAACACGTCATTGCTCCAATCGCGTCATGGAACTCTCGTATGACGATGAGGTGCCGCCAAATTGGCTTCACGAAATTGCCACCCTGGCACTCACTTGTATCACTTAAATCTCCCGATAGATGGTTGTGGCGATGCCGGAGTTGTTTGCTTCGTCAACCATCGCTACGTGTTTTTGTTTTGACCCTGTCTCGCGATGTTCTTGCCTATGCATGAGTGATTTTAGAGCGTTTAATCGGTTATGGCGCTATTCTTAGCAGGTGCTCGGAGAGGGTCAATTTGCCCCCCGAAGGTTTTTCCAGGATGATTTCCGAACAACGCTGCGCAGTCACGCCAAACTTTGTATAGCTGTAGTCAACTTAATAGCGGATCGTGTTGCATAAAGAAATTGGATGCACCTTGTACAGTTGCTGACCCAAGTCAGGCCGTGGCTTTTATCAAAAGCCCTTTCACGGGAATCCTTCAAGCTGATGCGACGACAGGTGTTAAAAAAGCGATACAGCACGGAAGTAGTTTCTTAGGTAATAACCAAATGAACTCAAGTCACAAAAAATTGGCCTGGGGCAGGTATGCAGGTACGACCGAGGTCATAACTACCCTGATTTTGAAGAAATATCAACTCCGTCGATGACGAACAGACAACTTTGCGTCATGTTGCTGCGGCCGGATATTCCTGTGGTCGCCGGATGTTGACATAAAAACGTTACGGCGTCCTGCTGTGGCCGGAGGTTTCCGTGTTCGCCGGATGGTCTCATCGGTGATGGTGAGGCTGTCCCATCCTCGTCCTTGGCCAGGAACATGAGGCGGTACATCGAGGCTGACGGTAGCATGGCAGATCTCCATCGAGGCTGACGGTAGCATAGCTGATCCTACCAAGGCTGACGGTAGTGTAGCTGATTCCCATCGAGGCCAGCTGCTAACTGATGCACGTGGCGCGCCGAAAACGAGTTTTCTCGTGTGGTAAAGTTGCCGGCAGCGCACGATATTCCCAGATAAGGTCATCACTC